GGGGGGGGGCTTTTTTGTTTTTCTCCCTCTATTCATGAATGAAAGGTTTATTATGCTTGATTAAGATTGACCTTATCATTATAATTAGTTGTTTTAATCGTAAAAGGTTTTGAGGTTAAACAGAAAGTTCAAAACTTGATCAGTTTACTTTTCGTTTTTCTTAGAGGAAATTATTGAGGATTTGAAGTGCTTTTATGAAGAATCTAAAGTCTTTGGAAACGTGACTAGGTCAGTGGTGTATTCCGACGAGGATGGGATAGCTTTGGTGGTCAGTACGTATGCGAATATTACATTTTCTTCTGATATAAATAACCTCATTTCTTTTTATTCCTTGCTTTTTTCTTGAAAAAGAAAAAGTGAGGATTAAGAATAAAAAATATGGCGGTTTTGTACTTAATCGAGAACTAATAAATTCTTCTCATGACTAGGATTGGTGCAAGGAGCTTTCGTTTCATTTTCATCTTCCTCTTTAACAAAGAAAAAGAGAAAGTTTCGTGATGTGTCAAGAAACTTATGACACTAATTTCACGACGCATAAACTTTTCGTTAATACAGAAGTACCCACTGGCAAGGGCAGGACTCATGTGGTAGGTGGCTTTCCTGGAGGAGAAAAATCACATAATTCGTGCTAAAAATTCTCAAATTATATACAACTATGTTATTTACTATAAGCATACGATGAACTATGTTTATAGTATCCGTTAATCAAAATTCCTCCAGTAAAAGTGACATAATTCTTAAAAATTCCGTATGATCTAAAATCAATCAAGCATATAACTGATGCAAATTTTCTGATTAAAGAAAACTCGATTTACATATTACAAATGTGGGATTCTTCACATTTGATGGAAGAAAGGTCATAGTCGATATTAGTTGAAACCAGATTAGTCAATGCCATAAACAGTGACCCCAAATTAAAAGTTATCATTATTGCTGCTCTAAGTTAAAAGATAACTTCCCCTCCCAATAATCAGTCTCCTCTTACCAAGAAAATTTCAGGTTTCCTCCTTGACCGAAAGGATTAAAAACTATGCGCATAGTATTAGGTCTCTCCTTCTCGTAACTTTCCTGTTCAAAAGATGTAATAATAATGCAAAACTTACTCATAAAGATCCTAGCACAGGACAACAAAAGAAATGGATTTAGTTGAGGAAACAACAGTCCCAAGAAAGAATCAAAACTCTTGGCACGAAAAAGTGCTCTCATTGTGATGCAGCATCAGCATTTGGACTCCTACCTTTATAGATAACCATTTACTTGATATTGAAAAGCAAGTCAGGAGCAAAAGATTTCCTAGTGGATGCCTGGTATGTTTGACTCAAAAGATATCGAAACCTTTTTGGGCAAATTAATCAAAGAAGATGATGGGGTAAATCTTAGTCAGACATAATTAATTCCAGATCAAAGAACTAGCAGTATGGATCGCATGTAAGATAAAAGAAATATAAATGATCTTATTGAGATTCAATATTGTATCTTCCATCGATCAATGGGGAGACAGCTTTACATATTTTCCTAGAGATCACTTCTTCTCTCTCAAGAATACAAGAAGAGAGCTTTTTAGCTTCAGAGAGAGATAGGAGGAGCCGCCCATTTATTGAAAGCTTTCCCTTACTATATATAGTCGAGGCACCCTTGCCCTTTGCTTGGACCGACGTCTGCCTGCCTCCAATGTGTCTTGGCCGTCCCTTTAAGTGCTGCTCCTTCCGGCTTGACGGATGTCGGGAAAAGGTTGTAGAGTGGGCTATGTTATCTTTCACTGCTCGGTCCCTTAGGTGGGATGTTGATCAGTTCGATCGTGACGGTCAGATTTTGACCAATACACTGTACACTAAGTATTTCCTTCTGCAACATTTTTGTGCATGTTCGACCTTTCTCACGTTTCTATCAACATTCTTGCTTTCCTGCCTTGAACATCCACGTTCAGTTTATAACCAATTCTGAAATTCAATGGCCTATAATAAGCGGGATAGAGGAGCAATTTTCACTTGTGGCTATCACATATCTCCACATTTTTTCATTCTTTTTAATAGTACTAGTCTTTATGTACGTGCCTCGCACGTATAACAATAGGTGTCACACCTCCTTTTTGCGCGCCTACCCCGAAGGATAAATGCGTGAGAGAGTTTTTCCAATTTAAGTGACAATATTCGAAATGGAATTATTTATTTAATTCAGATCGCCACTTGGGAAAGGTTTGACTTTTGGTGTCCCAAGTCACCGGTTTATCTTGAATCCCAATTCGAGGAAAATATTCGACTTTCCAAATGAAGTATGAGAACCAGAAATTCTAAGTAAGGAATTCTGTTGACCCGAGGGAAGGTGTTAGGCATCTCCGAATCCCGTGGTTCTAGCACGGTTGCTTAAATTGTTATAATGGCTAAATATCTGATTTTAATACATGTTATAACTTGTATGCTTTTATTAGGTTTAAACCGCTTTTATTATTATTTATTTATTATGGAATTGCAACGTCGAGAAAATGCATTTCGAACCACGTCACAATCAATGTGCTCGTGGTTGTTAATACATTCCGACTCCGTTGAGATTTGGATTTGGGTCATATAAATGCGCACCCGAATTTAAGAATGTAATTTAATTAAATCGCGCCTAAAGAGTCTAACGCGTTATTATCTTTGGGGAAGGCAATGAAATTCACTAAACAGTCCATCCCAAATTCTAAGTATTTTATTATGAACAATTATTGATAGCCCCGCAATTTGTATTTTTGTTTGGCAAGGCACGCCTCATTTTTATTTTAAAAGGATCGACCTATAGTGACTATGTTTTCTATTCCGTTCGTATCTATAATGAAAGAAAAAGAGTTCTAACTTATTTACATGCTCACGAGTTATTACAGTTGAGTTTCGAAAGTGAGTCGTTTAAAAAGTTTACATGGGCAGCGCATAGAATGTTCTAAATACAGACCGTAAAAGAAAGAAAAGACTACATTAAACTACAGCTTCAAATCTTTCCCACTTTTTACATTCATGCTTCGAGTAGCTTACAAGATGTACCAGTGTATCAGTTTGTGTACCTCGTATTTGGAAAGCAAGGAAAGAAGATGAAGATCAGTGGAAGCAGCAGTAGCGTAAATACACAGCAACAAACAGGTTCAGCAACACAACAAAACCAGTAACGACCAGTGGAATAACCCAGTAACAGATTGAAAACCAGCATTACCAGAATGCAATCGCAGTTAAAGCAGAAGAGAAACGGATACAAGATGCAGTAGTTTACTGATTTTTAAATAACACTAAAGGAAAAGCAGCCTGAAATTATTCAAGTAAAAGTTCAGCTTGTTTTTCTCTTTTAATCTCAAATTCTGATTTCTCAAAATTCAGTCAACTCTCTCAACTCTTTCCTCTATCTTCTTCAAAGTCTCCCCTTTACAATGTGTAAAATGATTCTATTTATAACCAAGACTCTTGTCTTGAACCACTAACCCGAAATATTCCCATAATTCCATGTCTTGCCCCCACTACTTAATGTTTTTCTTATTTAATTCCCTTGTTCCCCATGCCTACATGTTTTGTCCTCC